TGTAGTCAGAGTATGGAATAGTCTTCCTGATAACGTAGTGCAAGCTGAATCCTTGGGTTCCTTTAAATCAGAGCTAGATAAGATTTTAACAACTTTGAGCTATTAGTTAAGTTCTCCCCAAGCGAGCTCGATGGGCAGAATGGCCTCCTCTCATTTGTATAGTTCTTATGTTCATTAATGTGAAGCAATTCCAAAATGTGTGTGTTTCCCTTACCTTTGAAGAGGAAGTGGGAGTAGTACTTAAATGTGTTGTAGGACTGCTGCATGGCCACAAAACTGGGATGTACTGCTTCCCCTTGCTGGTTACTCCAGGGCTGTGCAATCAGCTGGGCTCGGAACTTAAGGATCAGGCTGAAAATGCTGTGGATGATGTTCATGACGGGAGCAGCCTTCTCTGTTAGCAGACCTCTGTGGAAGAGAGGGAGGAGAAGAGCAATTACATTTAACTCACTGGATATTTAATTACTAAGCCTAAGTGTTCAGAGAATTTCATATAAATACTACATCCCTAAAAATTAACCAATCTAATTTAAAATGCAACCAATGATACAACTATCTTTGTTTTAATCTAAAATGGGGCCAAACTAGTTAGCATTAGTGGCCTTGCATCAACTTTAATTTTAAATCAAGTCTGAGAATTTATATTCATATTTGGGTTGAGTATTGCTTCAGATTAACGGACAACCCTTTTTATCTATCCATTATTTTCTGCCTTATTCAAATTGACTAAGCTATGACTTGCAATGCATGCAATTCACCAACCCACCTAAAGATGGCCCTATTGAGGTAGTCTGCATGGGTGCGATGGATGGAGTCCAGGTCTCTGATGTTGGCCAGTTTGTGGGTGAACTCACTCCAGGACACCTGCAGGATCTGGTTTGCGATGTAGCCTTGAATGACCTTGACAAAGTGCTGCATCTCATGTCGGTACAGCTGCAGCTGGCGGAACTGGGTTGACTGGCCAGCCCCCTTTACCAGTGCTGGGACACAGACACAGCACATATCCTATTCATACTTCACTGGTATAGAGGACCAGAGAACACACATACTCCATTCATTCATCAATGGTATGGAGCACATTTTTAATCAGATTTCTTATCCAGAAAGGGTCATTGTGTATGCAGGTTTTCACTGCAATTCCCTAGATTACTAATTACAAGACTGATTAGAATACCAATTAATTAGATTACTAATTATAGGGCTGAAGAGTTCTTACACATGGACTTCAACAGCTGATCTAAAGGTTACCCTAAAAACTTGCATATACACTGGCCCTTTCAAGATAAGACTGCCTACCCCTCATATATAGCATATACATAAGAAATTTACAAACGAGAGGGGGCCATTCGGCCCATCAAGCTCGTTTGGGGAGAACTTAACTATTAGCTCAAAGTTGTTCAAATCTTATCTAGCTCTGATTTAAAGGAACCCAGGGTTTAGCTTCTGCTATACTAGCAGGAAGACTATTCCATACTCTAACTACACGCTGTGTAAAGAAGTGCTTCCTCAAATTTGTTTTAAAATGTTCTCCCGCTAATTTCCACTTTTGGCCACGAGTTCTAGTATTTAAACTAATATTGAAATAGCCATTTGGCTGAACAGCATCCAGACCCTATAGAATTTTATAGATCTGGATCATGTCCCCCCTTAGTCTCCTTTGCCCAAGGCTAAACAGATTCAGCTCAGCTAACCTCTCCTCATAAGACATTTATCTAAGACCAGGAATCATTCTCGTAGCCCTCCGTTGCACCTTTTCTAAGGCAGCAATGACCTTCTTAAGGTATGGTGACCAAACCTGCACACAATATTCTAGGTGGAGTCTTACTAAGGAATTAAATAAATGTAACATCACCTCCCTTGACTTAAACTCCACATACCTAGAGATATAACCCAACATTCT